CTTCCGATAACCTGCATCAACACGATGTACGGATCTCTGCGTGTGTGCCTAGTTGGGTTAAGGCACGAGGTGAACAGCCTACTCACACACACACACACACACACACACACACACTATACACATTACCCAAAGGAGGGAAACACCTCAGCTAGTATGCCGCAATACCTATGAGAAAAAGGGGAATGAAATGCAACAGGTACAAGTCAGCTCAGCTGCCGATAACGGATGGGCATCGCTCCGGTAAGCTATCTGTCGGCTACTATACAGCAAAAAAAGAAATTTCCTATGCAAAATTAGAAAATGCTAGATAATGAGATTGTGGCTAGAGCGGGAGGCTAAGAGGGATGGGGTGGGACAAAGAAACTCATAGCACGAACCCCACTGAGGTCAGCTCCTAGCCATAACAAGTGTACCCAGCCAAACGTGTTCATCGTCTTTCGGACCCAAACCAGGCAGCCGAGACGCTCCAAGCGAGACCGGCTTCGAAGTGAGGGCCTTCATTCCTCTCGACAAAGTAATCGATTGGCCATCTCTCCTCTTCTTTCATCCACACCCCCGCCGCGAAAACAACGCACGTCGCGGGAGTCGGTGGGCTGGCATGCGTAACACGTAGCTCAGCCATCGGAGCCTGGTGCGTGAAATAACGGTGCTGAGCGGTTCACTTCTTTTTCCTATGCCGTAAACAAGGCATCGAACACGCTCGTTGCTCACGCGGTGTTCCCACCAGATGTGAGCTAAATAGCGAAGGCACCGGTGCTCGAACGTAACTAGCCTCTTTATGTCCGCTGATCTAAGGGGCCAGGTTTCACAACCGTACAGTAGGGTCGAACGTACCGCTGCACTGTACACTGTGCCCTTCAGGGCAGGAGTGATGTCACGCCGCCGCCATAGGTGGCGAAGAATAGCAAAACACTTCGAGCTTTTGCTATACGGTTCGAGATCTCATCTTCAATCCCAAGGGCGCTGATACAACTTCCCAGGTAGTTGAATTTTTGAACGATTTCTAGCTGATCACCACCAAGGGTCAGTGAAAGAGGCGGTCCAGGCCAATCTTGGAGGAACGCTTTGCACTTCGAAGGTACAAAGCAAAGCTCGAAGTGACGGACTGCCAGTGCTAACCTCTCCAATGCCGCTTTGCACATTTGCCAGCTATCACAAATTAGGGCAATATCGTCAGCATACTTTAAGTCAAGAAGTCGTTCTCTTGGGAGCAGATCTACACCTAAGTCGTGTCCTGTGAACGCGATTTCCATGACTTCGTCAACAGCAAAGTTGAAGAGGAAAGGTGACAGCGGGCATCCTTGTCTCATACCGATGGAGATATTAAAGGGCGACGATAGCTTGTTGTAAGCACTCACACTGACTGAGCTACGCGCGTTTAATGATCGGATAATAGTTACATATTTCGCAGGCACACCTATCCTGAGTACACAGTTCCAAAGTGCACATCTATCCACCGAATCGAATGCACCTTTGGTATTGAGGAATGCAACTACGGTGGGTCGCCAATATGTGTGACAGTGCTCCAACAACTGAAGCAAAGTGAAGATGTGGTCAATGCAGCCACGACCTCGACGAAACGGCTTGGTCTTCACGAATACGGCTTTCACAAGTGGCAGTCAGTCTGTGAAGGATGACAGAGGCAAGCAATTTGGAGGCGGTGGAGATCAGACAGATTTCTCTATGGTTGGCGCATTCCGATCGTGAGCCTCCCTTGAAAATAGGGACTATAACGGAGCGGCTAAAGTCGGTTGGGACAGTTTCGTGCTCCCAGTTTCACTAGTAACTAGTATAAATCATCCACAAGAGCAGGTCCCCCGAATTTGAAGAGGGCTGGAGGTAGAGCATCTGGTCCCGCGGCTTTATTTAACTTCAACAGAGCGACCTCACGTTCGACTTCTGAGCGAGAGGGTGGATCTAAAGCGACAGTCCAGAGAGCGCGGCGACCAGTGGCCGGCGTGAAATCGAACAATTCCGACCGATTAAATTGGCTTTCGAAATGCTCAGCCCAACACTCCAAGCGTTTTGACAAGTTGTGGATAGGCTGTCCACTCTCGTCACGTATAGTTTCACTAACACCAGATCTCCTGCTGCCCGTTTCCCGTATCAGACGGAATAACTTTCGATGGTTACCAAGGGCAGCGGCCATTTCCATCTTTGAAGCACGATGAGACCACCAGCATTCGCGGTCTCTCTTCAGGCTAGCACGGAGTTTTGCCCGGAGCTCTTTGCGAGTTTCATTGTGTTTGCTTCCAGCCGGAATATGCCGGCGAGCATCGATAAGTTCCAGAGATTGCGAAGAGACCCAATGTCCATGTTGGCGATTAGACTTACCACATGAGGATTTTCCTGCTGCTAGTAAGGATTGGTGAATATGAGACTAGTGAGCTTCAACTTCATCCAGTGAGCGCTTACTCAACTCGCATGACAGCGTACTTTGATAGGCATTCAGAATAGCTGGCTTCGCCAGTTGGCTGGTGTCAATGCGCTCACAACGTCGTCTTGGGCATCGACCAAAACGTATCCGCAGGCCAGCACATACAAGTGCATGGTCGGTGTCCACACCTGTGCTCCAAATCGAATGACAGTTCTGGACGCAACCACTCCATCCGTAGCTTATCGCAATGTCATCGATTTGCGTCTATAGGTGGTTCGAGGCTGGTGGACGCCAAGTCACCCTCTGGCGGGTGCTGTGTCGGAAATTGGTCCTCGTAAGAAATAAGCGAGCATCCTCATACAAATGAAGTAACCGCTCACCGTTATCAGTACGGGAGCCTACACCTTGTTGGCCGCCCTGAGGCAGTTCATCAGTGGATAATTTTCCTACTTGAGCGTTCAGATACCCAGCCAGTACAACAGTGTCCGAACCCCTTCTGTGACGAAAGAGCTCGTTCAATTGGTGATAGAAGTCGTCACTAGAGTTTGTCGGTGCATAGGCAGCGATGACGAATAGACACCTGTTAGTCCAGCGCGACTTTGAAGCTTTGAACGAGCCAGCCAATCGGACCGCATACATCCGGATACTGATTGGAATTCAGTCAACCAGAACAGCTTCAGCTCGTGGACTCAGGGCAATACCAACACCGGCTTGGTCGATGCTCGAAGCTGCGTCGTCACCGGATAGACGCAATGAGAAAGTGCTGCTGGTGTCACCTGCAACGGATCGCAAAGTGAGCGTAGAGCTCGAGTCTTGCAGGTGGGTTTCCGATAAGCAGCAGATCTCTATGGAGAGGGTCTCTAATGTTCGGGCAAGTGCTGCCTATTGACAGATCTGTAGCAATGTGCGTACATTGAGGCATGCCAATCTGAAGGATGATCGAAGGCTCCAAATGGAAGTCGATGAAGTAGGCTTGGCCGCTTGGTCAGACATTGGCTTGTTGACAGGACAGGAATGACGCTCCGCGTTCACATGTGAGTTGAAAGTAGAAGGTAAAAGCTTAGCAAAGCAAGGTGGGGGAGGGCCAAGAATTGGGAGTTGAAAACAGGGGGGATAGAAGTGAGGCTGGAACGGGACGGTAAGAGAGAAAAAGCGTAAGAGTGGGAATAAGAAAGGGGAATGCTTGAGCAGTAGCATCCAAACCCCTATCCACCCTGCTCGATGCAGCAGATAAGGCGCCGTTTATTATCCTCTGCGAGAACCAGAGCCTCAAGAAATTGTTGGAGGAAAGGCTCACTGTATTGCGTGAGCAGAATACTGGCAGGTTGCCCAGGCCTAGACAGGAGAACGATTAGGGTTCTCACCCAAAGCCTTTGGTTCAAAAACCTGACCGCAAAGCAGCGGGTTTGAGGTTGGCTACAAGAAGTCCGTTTTGAGGAATAAGGAGTCACCTCATTCCAACCCCAATCTGGAAGACCAGGAGGCTGATTTTGTCTGACCTCTAACCATTGACCAATCTGAAGGTGCAAAAAACACGACCCAGCATAGCTCAATGGATCGCTGAGGCACACAAACCATCGCACCACGGTAAGGTCCAACCTCATTGTGCTAGGAACAGTCTACGACACAGTAAAAGAATAAGTGTGGAAAACGGAAACAGATTGCGCGCTGCCGTTAATCGATCATTAGAACGCATACTTATGACGAGTCAACATCCCACGAAAGACAAGTAACTGGCAGTGTCGCAAGAAAAGAAACAAGTATTTCTACACAAGTCTGACAGAAGAGGTGACAGACCAATGCAACGCCAGTTGTATGCAAGTGTCACTATGTCAACAGACCTACTCTATCAACCGAACACCATCAGAAGTAGGTCAAAACTACAACTTGGTGCAACATGTGGCAGTTGAGAAAGGTAACTCGAAACACGAGGTCCACACAAAGGAGGACACGCTGTTGACGTAGTCGAGAGAAGCGATCCCGAAAGTGTGGTTGATGAGTTAGAAGCAGATCCCAACGAAATCGACACTCTTTCAGTTTCAAGATGAACTCACTTTCTGCGTTGGCTTGTTCAATAAGGGCAATCGCATTCCGATTAAACTACTGCTTCGTAGACACATGCCAAAATGCGACCATCCAGCTCACATGGGCGCTAACCATAGCAAACACAATGACAGACAATTGATGCTCTGGCTCGGGATGACACGCCAAACTGTTCGGCGTGCCCTTCCCACGAAACACAGCGGAGCATGAAATCAATGACGCCACAAGATAGTAAGGATCGATCATGGCAGAAGATCAAAATTACTCGAAACACTGATAGCCCAGATTGACTGTGTACGTGAACATGTGCCTGCGGAGCTTGGCAAGAGGGTTGGAAAAGCAGCATGGTGACCGCTTGTCAGGGTGTAGCGCTCTGGCTCATTCAGTATTTGTGTTCTCTGAAGCGACTAACGAAACGAGATAAAATTGGGTATAAACATGGTCAGAAAAGTCATCTCCAATGCATAGCACCATGAGAGAAACAGCGCGAATCGGTAGTATATTGAGGAAAACAAACAGAAGCACTGCCGAGGTAGCTGGAATAGCAAGAAACATTGAACACTGCCAAACGAGTACTCACTCAAATGCACGGAGTTAAAATGTCCTCTCAACGCAAACTTCGTAGAGAAACATTTGCCGCAACGCTCGCATCCGTGGGGCCGCATCTCTGAGATAAAAATACCGTCATATTACCAACAGCAACAAAGGAGAGGAAACGCGGCGACAGATGCGAATTGATTCCAAATCGACTGAAGACAGTACAAAGCGACACCAAGCGTTGCAGTAATACTACTACGTCGAAGACGTTATGCACTCTAGGTGGTTGTTATGAAGTAACTGATAGTGTTCTGGTCACTAAGGGAGGAGAAACAAGGTTGTGCGGCGTACTTGAGTAGGATATACATTGAAGAGGAGGAGTGCACCTGGCTGCAAATCTCAGATTGCTCAGCAACGCACCAAACGTGATGTACGTGAGGAATTATGCAACATAACCCACTTTGCGAGTAAACGAAACAGATGGGTGGGAAGAAATTATTATTGCATATACGCCATCCATTCCCGAGTGCACAGTTGTGGAACATATGGAAGTTCGCTCATAGGTGTTATTTACTAGAGAAGGCAAAAACGTGATGAAATATAAAATACAATACATATATATATATATAATTCGTACACATAAATATAAATATACATAGCACATGAAAGTACAAGGCCTTATCTAGTTAAACGGAATGGATGTTGGAATCAACAGTTACTGCTAATAAATCGGCCGCAGCGCTATAGGAATTAGTGGGCTTTCGACTGACAAATATTTGTTTAACTGTATTGCGCTGTGGCGGATGTGACTCGCTACTAAATCAAGTCACTGCCCCTTGGTTCACTCGGGTGGAGCATTGGATTCAAGGGATCCGATTCTGAAATTGTGGAAAGAATTGGGCCCCTGTTTGTCAAGCGACCAAATGAACTGAGAAATCGGGCATCGGATCTCAGTGGGCGCGATTCCATGAATCCCCTCGGCTGTCTTGCGAATAGGCTATTCAGCCAAAGGCACGGGGTTGTGTCGACCAAGACAACTCCCTACCTCTGCTTGGACAACCAGGCAGTATCTCGTCCAATGACAGAACAATGAATCTGTTAACCAATACAATTATGTCGCCCGTCGAGACGAGACTGGATCTCAACGTGGTGCGACGATTTGCGTACCTCTTTGACCCACTGAGCTATACTGCGTGGTGTATCTGGACAACTTGAATTTTACTTCTACCAGTTTGGTCAATGGTTAGAGGTCTGACAAACAGTCTCCTGGTCCTCCACATGTGGGGTTCGAAAGGCGATGGCGTCGATTTCTGTGAAACCAAATCATTGCCATCTCCCCCTGCCTTGCAGGCAGGCTTTTGAGCCAAGGGTTTTGGTTGAGGATCCTAATCTTCCTCTTGGCTAGGCTGCGCGCCATGGCAGTATC